ATTCGCTGAACAAACGGTTCTGAATAAAAACCGACTGTATAAAACATATAGATTTTATGGTAAAAATTTTTAGCCTAAAACTGTCAGAATATATTACGACTGGTCTAAAGGTGATATGGAGATAGATTTGTGTATATAAATCATAGCAGTTGTATGTCCGTCGGTTTCGCTCAAATTGTATTATGATGTGTTTCTGTGTACTTGTTTTTATTGATATTTGTTGTTGTCTTTTATTTTAAATTCAAAGTAAGTACTAAGTTTACAGGTGATGTGACAACAGGAATATGATAGTGTTAACACATGGCCTCCAGCAAGTTATTGACACTTTTTGAAGAATTGAATAAAAGCAGCTGAAGCAAAAGAAGGAACGGACGAAAAAACTACCCGTTTTAAGTCAGTAAGAGTCTGGCACTCCCACATACACCATGCAGTGTGGAAGAGCCACTTTTTATAAATTTATGTTTTTCTGTACCTATGTATATAATATTATTTCACAAAGTTAATTGTTAATTGGGATTGGTATAATCGTGTAAATCTAATCATATTTGGAGTAAGAAATGGTATCTTTCAGGAAGTGCTCAACTCAACCATAATATACTCGTACATATTTATTTTTAACTACTTGTTCAACAATTTTTATTTTCTTTCATTCTGTTTTGTCTCGGTAGAGTTGTCGCAAGTTTGATTTTAGAGCAGAGTTCCGTGAAAAGTATTAATTTACTTTATTAAGTATTTAATTTTTTAATGCATTAATGATTAGTTTTACGTGACACACATTCTATTTAAAATAAACTGTTAGTAAATTCATAATTCAACCGAGTACAGTAATATTTTACATGAATGCTAAAATAAATTCACGCGTTACGTTTTTTGGCGGTTTACGAAAAATACTACAGGTATAAAATATCAGCAACAAAAATTATGTTAAATTAAAAAGTATTACACAAAACAAATCACAACTGACATAAACGGGAAGCGACCGTTTCGGTTCCAAAAGTAGACATGGACGGTATTTTTTTTAAAACATTTTAAACTTCACTTAAAAATCGCAGGCGACCCTTGTCAACCTTTACTTGCTTATTTTAGCTTATAAAGTGATTAAGTGATATTCATGAGTACTAATTTATATGAACAAATTACGGTTAAAACCGTGCGTATTTGCTACATATGCGTTGTTGTTTTATACGTAATTATAATTGTATAATTAGCAACCTTTTAAATGGTTATTAGTACTTGTAGTCTGTTATTTTAGCTAATTGGACTGGTAAATATACTAATGTTGGTTTACACCAATTTATATTAGAATAAAAAAAATGTTTTGTTGAAGTCTAAACTATGACGTGCAAGCTTCAGTAGATGAGATATGATGAGATAAGATGTTCTTTAAAATTTAAATTATAAATAAAAAGAGAGAAATTCTCATAATTTTAGTTTACAGCTATATCGACGTAATAATAATGATTCATTCATTGTCATTTTTGAGGTCCCAACATTTTATTCGAGCGATTCTGAGTCTCTCTAGAGAGGAAGAAGTCAAGGACCACGTCTCAGTTCTATACGTTATCACCGGTAACACACACTGATTGAATATGTTTGTCTTTGGGCACTGTGATTTTCGATTTTTCGAAGTCTTTGACTTCAAGGATGTCGTTCCCAACGAAGACAGGTACAGGCGCAACATGGACATTTGACATGAATTTCGTCTTTGCCATGTTAATTTTAGAGCCGCTTTTTGGGCAAACTATTGAGGTCGTGTCTGTTGGTTTGTTATAAGCGATTGAAAAGACACGTTAAAATTTTGGCTTGCTGTTGGTTTTTAATTTTGTCTGTCAAAAATTTTGTTCTATTTACGTTCCTGTTTAATAAAACAAACATAAGTTACATATTGTTAATTACATGAAACACAATTATTATAATGTTTTATAAATTACGAAATAAATTAACTGATAATGAGTGTGTGAGTATGATTTGTGACATTTTAAATTAATAGAGAGTTTATAATTTATGATTAAACTAAATTAATTTGACATCAAAATAGTTGTGGACTATATTATTACCAGTGCGTACGGATAATTTATATGTCAACGTTTACAATAATTGACATAAATGAAATGACAGCTTACATATTGTTTTAATAGGATTAGCACAGATTTATTTATGTTATAAATAATTTAATCTGGGTTAACATTTATTCTATTCTCACACTTATTAAAAACCAAAACTATTGTGTGCTGGTCAGATATTAAAATAAAAACGTGAGATGTAGTTCGCACGAAAGGGCCGAGCGAGCAACTTCTGTTTAAAAAAATATAATAGTTATACTATCACACCAATTATTCAGTTCATTAAAAAACATACAACTTTATTTATAATTTTAATGTTAGATAGTAGTGGGTGTGGTTTAACTTGTGTTGCCCCGCTTAACTCCAGGAGCTACCAATTAAAAGTGTTTGAGGAGCAAACACTATCCGACGTCGCTGTTGTGTAGCACGAGAAAGTTTCTGATGTACGATGTAATGACAAATTACATGTAGACTGAGATCTTTAACAGAATACAATTACTTTTGAAGTTTTCTTTTCACAGAGAGGAGGTAAAGTGAACCAAGACTTATAAGCAACCAAGTAATTGTAAAATATCTGATCTTAGTTGAGTTTTCATTGCATTCTAGCTTTCTATAGTCCTCTGTACCATAAAATGGAATGAATAGAAACAAGTATTGGGAAATCATCATTTCTGTGCTGTCAAGGTAAAGGGGGATGAGTCTAAAAACACAACTTTTTACCAGGGGCTAATAAAAAAAACGCCTGTTTATTTTGTAAAATAAATGCAGTTTAATCAAAAATATATAGAAATAATGAATACAAATCTGTTTTAATTTTCATTTGTTAATTTAGTCGTCTTTTATATATACCCAAAAAAATATTTTATTTATTAATTATTAAAATAACTGACATATCTCCTTTTTCCATAACACGAAAGAAAATAACAAACAATCTTAAAACGACTCGTCTCTTTATTTGCTAATTATTTACGTATATAAAATTGAGAGTTTTTAATTATATATTCATAAATCTTCACACCTAAGTATGAGGTATGAGGTAGGTAGAAACTTTGGCACGTCTATTGCTTATTTCTAGCAAAGCTCTTTTGTATCATCATTCTTTAATCATAAAAGCTTTTAATAAAAATAAATGGAATTAATAAATTATAAATGCAAAATACCTAACTTAAGCTTCACTGAACTCCTCAATATCGGGATCTATATCTCGTGTGTTTGCACTAGTTTCCAATTTATTATAGAAGTCATGGCAACTACTATCAATTAAATGAAGAATACTAAGAAGATCTCGTTTTTTTTCTTGACTTATAGGCACTTGACAATCATAACATTTCTCGGGATTCAAAGATTCATTAGATTTGCCCCTTCGACAGAAAGAAATCTCCTTAAACTCGGTTGAATTATTTAATTTTGTTTTAAACTGTATTACACCTGGTCCATGTTCACTACTAAATCTAAACCATTTTACATCATGCCATATGAATTTCTCGCCAGATGCATCTACTTTTCATAACTGCAAAGGGCCTTTATACAATTTAGCGAAGTTGAGAAACATACTGTTATCCATTATCACGACAGAAATGTTTGGACTTGTCATTCTGACTAAGTTGTACCAGTCTCTTGGCAAATGTATAGCCATATCAGTTCTTTTTTTCTTTCGTTCGATTTGTGCATGTACAGAATCGCACTCCATGTGCGTATGCCCGGGAACTAAAAACTTGTGATTTATTAGCAAACCTGGTTTCATTTTGCTTATGCATACAAACATAGCAGCAACGTGACTATTTTTGTTTTGTCCGCCACACGTATCAGAATAAAATGTAACTTCTTTCACGTGTGATGGCAATGTCATTAAAAAATTGTAGAGGCACGAAGCTATTTGATTAGCTCCACGTCGACCGTCAGCTTCACTCCACATGTAGCAAAAGCTTTTTTTGCTATAACAATCGTAAATAGTCAAATTATAAGTCCACAACAGCCGTTTGTAGAAAACAATATTTGTTTTTAAAAAAGGGGTTGGAAGACATTGTTGAAGGTCAAAACAATAAACTCTTTTAACATCACTCGACTCTTCTTTGTCCTTTTTTTTCATGGAATAAGCTGAATCAGCTTCTGCCTGATGGATCTCAAGTTCATTCTTCAAACTTTCTGTATCTGGTGGCAAAGCTAATTTAATTTTCATTTTGTAGGCGTCACATGTATTGCAGGTGTCCAAAGAAGGTTTCTTAAAAGAAAGACCCATAGTACGAAAAACATTTCCAAAATAGGTGTATGATACAGGATTACTGACTATTTCTTTGTACATTTGGTACATTATTGTTAATGACAGTCCGGTCGGTAAATAGCGTTTGTTTGTATGACTTCGGCTGTAATGCGATTCATATAATGGATAAGAATTAATGTGATCTTTGATTGCTTGTACTGCATCATCCCCAATCTTATTAGAAGGCACATGTGATCCACGTTTATCAGGGCTTGAAATTCCTGTTACCCTTACAGATTTCTTTTTTATTGCCACTTCGACACATTTATTAGATATTCCAAATGTTTTTAAGAAACATCCCTTACAAATTTCAATCATAGTGCCATTTACTTTTAAGTTGTAAATATGGTTAATGCTCCGGACTTTAGGTTCACCAAGTGTATTACGTATGCGTTGGCTCTTTTTAGGTATATCTAAAATTAATGATGACAAATAAGCCGAACGTTTGTTATAATCACCCAACGCCCATAATTCCTCAAAAAGAATTTTTTGGGTTTCTGCACTAATTTTTTCTGAACATTTCTTACGGCAAAGGGGTAGAGGAGTAACTTTTCTTGACCGAATTATTTTACCCGATAGTGTTTTATATGTCAGTCCTTTGTTTCTTTTATCTTTAATAATTTTTCGTATATTTGTTCCTTTTGATTTTCGCCGTTGATTATGTTCTTCAGTTATACTCGTAACTTCAACATTATGGTGATCATTTTCATGAAGAGAAGTCTCAGATGATGAGCTACTATCTATTTCAGGAGCGTATGTCCTATCAACTACACTATCATCTGAGCTGAAATCGGCTGCTTCAGTCGGCTCTGGGATCTGTATATCCTCCTCATCCACCAATGTTTCATGGCCTGAGAAAAAATGCATTAATAATATAACTTGTTGTATTAGCTAGTTATAAGAAGAAAAAAATCAGTTACTTTTTTATTTTCAATACCTATACAAAAATGACAAAGACTGAGAATGTTATGAATGAGGATGTTACAATACATATCTAGGCCCGAGCCTACGGCGCGTAGCGTTCCGCGCGCGCCTCAAAGAGCCATTAGACCACCACAGACGGGGCCCTAAAGGGCTGATGTTTAGCCGGGGTTGCGGGGTAAGCGCAATGAGGCACCGCGACCTCGGCACAGAGCAGGAGAAGGAACAGGGGGGTTTTTAGTCAGTAAGAGTCTGACACTCCCTCCTGCCCGGCCCTGGGCGGGAGAAGTCATTTGATAATTTTCCCCTCACAAAAAAAAACAATACATATCTATACAAATATACAGGCATAATGGCATATATTTTAAATTATAAATACCAACCAGTTAGAAAATCATGAGACTGGAATCCTAGGTCAGAAGGAGTGAGTAACTCATCTAACATTTGGGCAACCTGCAATTGCTCTTCAGTCACCTCACTGCTAACTCCAGACACATTCATCGACGTACTACTGAGATTATCTGATATATTTTCTTGTAAATCTGTAAAATCGCACAACAATAATGTGAGTATACCTACAATATTCGCGGCGAGTGCGGCAACTTACCTACATACCTACTCTGTCTCACAGTCCGTGATGTCACACAGCGCGCTAACAATTAACTAGGTACCGACTTAAAATAAACCATCCACTCAATCTAATGTAGGTATCTATTTAATAATTCTAAAACAATAATACAATCTATTTAAATTATACTATTAGTAAGTAATCATTCAACGAATAATAAATTTAAAGGTTAGAATGGTAAAAGTTAGGTACAAATCCATCATACTTACGTTCAATCGGACTTCCATTTAGAGCTAGTGACATGATCTTGTTAATCCTATTCATTTCTGTAGCTTTCAACACTCCAAAACACTCGTAAACCAAAATTTTAGGATTTTTTACACAGTTGCACTGATAAAAACACGTCAACTTCGCGCGCGAAATGCAACTAACGCGGAACAACAAATATGAATTTAGGCACGAGTCGACTTATCTCATTATACCTAATTTTATAAGTAAAGGATCACGTAGGTAATAAGAAGACAACTAGACACAACTCCTTTTTACTTTTTGGGTTTTGCTATTTATGACTAGACTCGTATTTATTATTTGAGATTCACGAAATTAAAATGCATTATATTGACTCATCTCCTTTTTACCATAATACTTAGTGATATATTTTACCCAACTGTGTAATTAACTCATTTTTCAAAATTTCTGACTCATCCCCTTTTACCTTAACACCACAGATTTTATTTTTATATACTCTCTAATGATGTTTGCACAAATAATTAACCAACCATTCACTATTAATAAGCAAAACTAGTTGCGAAGTGCAGCTACGTGCCACGGTGCTACGAGCTACGAAGCTACGCGCTATGGAGCTACGTGCTACGATGCTACGTGGAACGTTGCTACTAGTTGAGTTATGCGCTACAAAGACACTGACTGGTGATTTTTAACACTGATGTGATTGGAGTTTTTTGGTCGATCTTATTATATTCTACGTACACTGTTGGTGTTGGGTTGAAAACTGTTATGTAATTTTTCGTGATACAATTTGAGGAAAAATCTTTTTTGAACGATTTGTTTTAGGTTTAGCCCTTAGGTTTAAAACGTGATGTTTAAAATACATCAATCAATGTCAGATAAAACCGTTTAGTTATTAGGTAAATGTGTCTGCTCATGTAATAAATTATGATTGCCTGCAATTATCTGGAATTGTGTCCATTTGTGAATAGTTTACATATTCGTTGTATGTATGCTCGACTAAGCTGGTGTCAGGGGGTATTAATAAACCGTCATTTGGAGGCGAAACAACGAAATAGCTGGCAGGAGCTTTTGAAAAGTTAGCGTGAAACAAATTAGTTAAATATATTGGTTTTGATACTGTTGATTGGAGTTGCAGTGTTGTTATGAATAGGTTGTATGATTATAATTATTAGGTATATATGTGCAGTTTCTTATGGAGTGATAGATAGGGTCGTTGGTGTTATTTTGGCGAGCGATCTTCAGATTAAATCAGGTTTGTGATGTACATGTCTTATTTACAAAAATAAATACATATATTAAAAATGTAAAAATACCTTTAATTGAAGTTTACACTATTATTATTCACGCAATATAATTAATTACACGTAATGATACCCCTAGTAATACATTTAACTTAACCCTATACAAGCATTTGAGAGATCATAGGAAAAGAAGATATCTTTTAAAATATAAACCGATTTCTGTGTAATTGTAATTATTCCATTGAAGTCGTATATTTGATGTAATCCGAAATCCGAAACCAATCAGCCCAGCTATCCGCTTCATCAAATTTATATTCTTATTGGCCTTACCGATTATACCTACTCATTTCATTTGTAAAATAAAATATCTATTAAGCGAATCAAAGTCCCTTTACGATTAGCGCTGATTTATTGAATCACATTTTCTGTATTCACACGACCGAAGTATTTTGTATTTCAGAATCAAAAACGTTATTTTTGTAACCTTTATACCAAGGCAACAGAACACATTTGGCTTCTATTTATATCAGAGCCAAAAGTCTCACAAAAGTTTAATCGACGAGAACGCGAATGTTTGTAATAAACTCTTGAATAAAATATAATTTCCTGTAACATCAGTTTTTGTTTGGAAACACAATAAGAAAGTTTTCAGGTGAGCTTAATGAAATCGCTTATAATAATCGCTACAAAGAAAGTAATTATATCTCGAACGAAGCTTAAACTGAACATGGGCTTTGTTCGTCATGATTAATAGTATGTGTTGAGGGCTCCTTTCACTATAGTGTTATATTCCCACCGCTAGTGGTAATGGAGAATACATAATACAAATAACCCGTTCCAAATAATTGTCATGAATGAAAATGGTAACTGTTTTCATTCCGTAATTGCATGTTTTGGACACAGAATATTTTATTCAACGGTAAGTAAAGAACTGAGTACTCGTGTGGAATAATTGCTGTTTTAGTTGAAATAGAAAATAAGCACAGTTTGTGATCAAAGTTGTACATTCAACTTTGTGACATCGCTCATTCGTGTGTCGGACGGACATTAACTGTTTTCGAATGCGTGCATGTACGTGAGCACGACATTCTCATATTTACGGAGCAATAAGAGTTCAAATATAATTTTGTAATTACACTGGACTGAACATTGCTTTCTTTTTTACTTTGATTTTTTCATTTATTTTGTTAACAAGTAAACCTTGAACAAAAATTGAGGCTTTTTGTTTCGATTGAACTTTTTTGAACAATTTGATGAGTATGGACGGTCACGTTTTTGTGGTCTGGATATTGATAAAAATAATATTTGGGACGTGTCAATTGTAGGCATAGTTTGTATGTTCAAAGCGGTAGACACTCAAATAATATTTGGATTTAATTGATACTATATTGATAGAGGTTCTGAAATCGTTTTATTATCTCTGAATGTATTGTGTAGGAATGAGATTTTTGTCGTACGCTTTTCTAGAATAATTGAAAACAAACAATCATAAGGTACCTTCTGTCTAAGAAGCTTGAAGAAAATCACAGATAAAATAAGAACTCCATTTTTGCATGTCGTTTTGAGAATAAATACGTAACCAGACAAGTTTTTCAAGAATAAACTTTACATTCTTATAAAAGTTGTTACAAATGCCTGCAAAACGTCCCTGTCTTATTGCCTCCCAGAGACTTATTTCGCAACTTTTCAATCCTCAGCCTACTTATAACTTTTCCCATCACAATGACTTCGCTTAAGACGATACAAATAACAAAATTCCCGAACAAATCCATATGGGGAGTAACGAGATCGTCTACAAAACGAGTGCGTTTCAAACTTTTAAGTGAAGTTACATTCGGTCACAAAATAAATATTAAAATCAACATTATTTAATGTTAACAACTTTATTTAGATTACCACATTGTTCATTCTTATTCTAGTGTTTAGTTTAAAAATACAAAATTAACGAGTTATTGAAAACAGGTAGATATTTTTCGACTACGTCCTAACTCTAAATTGTATTCAGCTCAAAAGATAAATAAAATATATTAATGACATAATATGAATACATATTATGTCATAAATACAATAAAAACGTATCTTTTAACAATATATCTTTTATGTTAGAACATTAATAAATTGGACGCACACTGGTTTGTTACGAACATCATACAAAGCGTCGACGGCTCGAGCAGGCGATGTATTGTGTATTTAAAGCTGTGTATTACAAACAGGATCATTAGTACAAATTAGAGGTGGTAATTGAGTGTCAGTTGCGCTAGTGAGTATTCCAAGTGCGAGGCATACCTCGTATAGTTTGCGATGTGCCGTGTACACTGAATATATAGGTATTGTTTATACTCAAAGCTATTGAGTGGAGCTATTGAGCTATTTGATAGGCTTTGCATAAAGTGCAAATATCGGTAGTTAGATCATTTCAATTTGTTTAAGAAGAAACAATGCTTTTTTTTGAAAAGGTAACATGTTGTTTTAATTTATGGCGATTTCCATGTACGCGTAACATCAAGATTTCAAAAAAACTAATACATATTATACACTATATTCGTTAACTGTGGTTGTTATTCGCTAAATTGGACGGCGAGCTACCCGTGTTCGAGAGCCAGTAGCCAACAACAGACGGGGCCTTTTAAGGCCGATGTTCAGCCGGGGTTACAGGGCAAGCGCAATAAGGTCTCTCGGCCTCTGCTTAGGGTAGGAAAAGGAAAGAGGGGCTTTTAGTCAGAAAGAGTCTGACATTCATTCTCGTCTCACCCTAGGCGAGAAAAAATATTTTTTGATTCTCCTCACACAAAAAAACCTGTTTACTACCCTGAGAAGAAATATTTATGGCCTTTTATTAAGTTCAAATGAAACAGTACAGTTTGTGAGAACCTAACATTTTACAATTTTTATTGACTTTGATAGACAGGAACTGGCTAAGTGGTCTTAGCGTTGACATTAAAGAGCTCTCTTGTTCTCGGTAGCAATTATCGAGAAACTGACTTCTAAGTACTTCTAATGGACCTAAATTAGTAATGTTTCTTATATTTTATTAGTAACTTACCTTTTACGAGCACTAATAAATAAGTGGCTATCAATTGACTCGATGAGTAAGAAGTGGGTATTGGTTTTTGTTTGGTACCTATTTAATAATGTTAAGAATATCAGTAATACTAATATAATGTCTATTCTTTGTAAAAATACCTTTATTTCCACAAGTTTTACCCATATTTGTACCTTTAAAGGCTATAAAGATGATATGATTAATTATTTATTTAATACTATGCATTTTTCTCATTGTTCCTCGGCTCGTCACTTCTTACAGACAGAACACAGTCGTTGCAAATTAGAAGGGACCTTTTATACAAGTGTTGCCACTAAAACCTATGTTTTTGAGATCAGACTTCGCTTGCGGCGATCACAATAAATTAAATAGGTCGAAAAACTTATTCCACCCCAATTGTAATTTAGTACGATCGTTAAAAGTTTTACGAGCAATCTTTGGCTTTCTCGGCCATAATCTGTTTTAGCCGTCGCCATCAAACCGTTTCGTATCCGATTGTTCGTTCATCTCCGATCAGCAAATTGACTGACGACGCCCGAATCAATTTTTCTTTCCCTTTTATTACAAAAGAAAACGATAAGCGCTAATCGATGGAATTTTTCTTGTTTGAAGGGACATTTTTCCAACTTAAACCGGAAAATATGAAGGTCTTTGTTTTATATTTTTCATTGTAAAAGAAATACTTTTAACTTATCTAAAAAAAAATCGTAAATGTTTATTTATTCTTGGTGACTAAATCTCATTTACGTTTTATTGTTCGCCATGTCTCGTCGTCACAGAAAACCATA